ATAACTGTTTGTCTTGACTGCCTGACTCACTGGTGATCAGCGCACAGTCCAAGTCCTAGGAAGCTATATTTTCTGTAATAACTTACTTTTTGGTCGAAGTTGGGACCTGAGAAGGGGTTCTTGAATTGGATATCCAATTGGAGAAAAGGTTCGAAGTAGTGTATGAAAAAGACTGTGTGGCTTGGATATCTGAGCGTCGGACCTACAAGCGAGCAGTCGCCGGCTCAACTCCAACTGCAATTTGCCAGACACTATAATGAACTTTCGTTTTGTCAACTACAATGCTGGCATTTGTTTTCTTTGGCAGCGCTTAACTTACAGGTGTTATGGAAACCATTATTAAATAAAACATATATTAATTAATCACAGAATGTTTACTTACATATATAATTTAAAGCTGGAAACGGGGTTTTTTAATTGTATTAAAAATGAGTATATTTTATTATAGAATAACAGCACACCTTAGTATCATGCGGATAAAGTACACGTACATACACATATTGAAGATGAAGAAAACCCAGAGAACTCAAGCAAACCGTCAACATTGAAATCGTATGGATCATCGGCTACTATTGATCTTCAAGAACCTCAAGACCCACAAAATAACAACAACAATCAACAAAAGAAATATCGTAGTTATTGCAAATCGATTTTTTTGCGCAATTCATCAACAAGCACGAAGAAAAAATATATAAAAAAGCTCCATTCACAGAAATCTAGAAGCTTAAGTTAAATCCATCACATTTTTATACATATAAACAAAAGCAATTTTTTGTCCATCTATAAAATGAGAGATTTTCTAATTAGATTTATCAGAATTATTTCAAATTAAAGTCATTTATTCGTTTTCATGTTTATAACATTATTGTTATCATTCAAATAAAAGATGAAAACAAAACATAGTTAAATGTAAATGAAAATGAAAATAAAATAAAATTCTACGAGTATGTTAAAAGTTAAATTGATAAAGTCTATATACTCAATATACATGCATACATTTATTTAACGGTGAAACAACAAACTAAATCATAATTTTAAAACGTTAAGTTGAATAACATTTTAAACTAGTCAAGCGTCTATATAAAAACAATTTTCTTACCAGCTTTCATTTGACTTTAAAGGAGAACAAAAGCTATTTAAAGTTTATTAGTAAATCGATGAAGAAAATATTAGACCTAATGACAACTAATAGATACCAGAAGACAAAAGATGAAAATAAACTGTTATGTAAATTATTTATTATATTTAATTATTGAGCATTATGTATTCCTTAAACTGTGTAAGTATATAAGCATCAACATATATGAGAGTACATGCCAGACATATGAAACAGAGAAAAATAAACAAAAAATAAATATATTGCGAGTATATATATATATATATATATATATATATATATATATATATATAACAATTTATGTATAACCTTTGCATAGACTTATGTTATGTATACACAATGCTGACGTTTGGCAAATCGGCTAAAAAAAAAAAAAAAAAAAAAAAAAAAAAAAAAAAGAGTAAGTAGAACAAACACAAATAACATCAAAAACATAAAAGCGAATAACAAAAGTTTAACTTTAAAGCGTGATTTCAATGGAATATATCATCAGTTTAAACCTTAAAGTACTTAACTTATATCGAAGAATTCCTCCCTTATGGATCCTGATTTATGATATTCTTTGGTAAACTTTTTAATCTATAAGCCTATCTATTGTTTTTAACTGATTTCCTTTGAGTTGCTTCTGCCCTATGTCGAACTCTTAAGGTTTCTGATACTCCTAACTTTCTCGTATTTGTTAATTTGGAAAAGCATATTAGGTCCTAATGAAAATATATATAAATATATATATACATACTAATTAAATGATTATTAACAAGGCAAAAAAGAAAAAAAAAAGAAAGAAAGAAAACAATGTTAAAACAAGAAATATTAAGAACAATAATAGTTATTACTATTTATATTATATTCAAGTATATATATACATATATATATATATATACATGAAATCTTAACAATATACATTTATATATAAACTTCTATAATGTTGTGCGGCCTGTGCACAAACCTACTAAATTGGTATTTTCAATGAACTGGCAAAAAGTAAAATAAAGAAAAAAAAATATTATTAAATAAATAAAAACTGCAATCTTAAATATGGCTAAATATAAACAAGTTTAATTGAAAGCATTCCAAGGAGAGCTGGCCATAAATATTATTGATTATTTCCATAATGCAAGTAAAATTAACTATTAAATTAGATGTTTTTGTCCTGTAAAAAATATTTAAAAATGGTATATAACATTTATAATAATTATATGTAATGATTATAATGCGTAGATCGGGATCGACAAGTTCCCTTCACACTGTTTGTAGTTATGTTCACCAAGGCAAAAACTAAAAATAACTCGAACACACACAAAAACAATGCAAACTGATTATACCAATATACCAAGAAAATATTTATGTATTATAATTCATCTAAATTACACGAGCAAAAAGTTCTTAGAAACAGGCATACAAATTCTACAAAAAAATAACGAATATTGTTCAATAAGCCCCAAACAAAGAATACGTACTTTGCTTTTCCAAATAATTACTGTAAATTATCAAATTATCAATACTAAACAAAGACACAAAACTTACCAAAACAACAACAGCAAAATAAAATACTTGAATATTAAACAAATTATATGAAATTATATAAAACGATGTTGATTATTGATTTAAACTGATGTCTGAATAAAAGCAAATGATATATAAAAATTCTAATTTAATTATATCTATATACATATATACATATATATATATATCTATATATGTGTGTGTGTGCATATACGTATATAAATATTATCAAATATAAATTCATTTGCGTTTTTCTTTAGTTTGGTATATTTATTTCTACACGACTTGCGCTGTCCTCAATTTTATACGACAGTGTGCGTACCTTGACTACATGTACATAATTAAACACACAAACACACTAACACACACACAACCACACAGATATAAAAACACACACACATACATACAAAGCCACCCATGAACTGACCAAAACAAAAAGCGTACACTTCAGTATGTATTATAAATATGGATGTACTATGATTACCGTTAAGCATACCGTTAGGCATACAAAGTGTATGCATGTATCTGTATTATTTTGCAACGTTTTCAATGCAAGCAGCGGTAAAAACGCAGCGCAGGAGCCATCACAAAAAGCACAAATCAGTAGTTGGAAACCAAAAAAAAAAAAAAAAAACCAAAAATTAAAAACCAAAAAAACAAGTATTAATAATAATAGTTAAAAATATTAAAAAATAAAATACGAAAGGAAAATACCAAAAGCTGTAGATGTCCATGTATTTTTATTTTTAGATATTTATGTATGTAATTTATATTCAATAAATCAGGCATAAATGCATTTAACAACACCATACGAACAGCATAAATAACAAAACTATAAACAATATATACTATATATAGAGCGCACCTGAGGATCGGTTTGCGAACTAGATCGGGCAGAGAAAATTGCACTTACATATGTATATGTATGCGTGTATGTTTGTGTGTTAGGCGAAAATGTAAGAATAGCAAATACAAGAAGAAAGTAAAAATAGGTAAACCAAAATATAGGGCAATGTTTGATGTTGAATTATATGTTAAAGGCCACATAGCGTGCATTATATGCAAATCCATATGGAATATACATAACATACATACATATTTACATAAATACATGCATACCAGGCAAACAATCTACGAAAAATAGCAAACATAATTTTATATATACCAAACGGAATAACAGTAAAACGAAGATTTATACATAATCATTACAGCACCGCATAGTATGAAAAATATCCATACCATATATATATATATATATATAGATATCTATATAAAACATAATTATACATACTTACCTATCCCATGCATAAATAGGTTGCTCTGTTTGAGACATCTATGTATATTGAATGTGGTCCGTTATTTGGGCATATCCATCAGTTTACACATTTTCAATTACGTGCAGTTACTTCATGTAGCGGTAATCAAAACCCAAAACAACTGGCCACACATTCTCACCACAGTCGCAAAATGCGGTTCACCACATCATGAAGCTCGTTTCGGAGTTTTGTTGTTTATGATAAACTGTTTATAGCTGTTTTTCGAATTTTAAAAAAATTATATTTACTATATAAAAATTAAATAAAAAGGACAAAAAAGAAGTCGTATATAATAGTACACATGCATAATACATACAAGTATATGTTTTAAAAGCTCTTACCAAACTTAATTGCAAACTGAATAACTGCAAAGCAAAAGCGATTGAATTATATTATTGATTAAACGACATACTGCATTATATATGCATTATGATGCAGCTGTATTGCATGCAAGAAGTATATACTTTTATTTCAAAGCAAAAACAAATATATAAAGAATTTAAAAAAAAACGATAGCAGATGTATGCGGATCTCCAACCGCACACCCAGAACAACGGCGTCTGTAGATATATTATACCACAAACACACTGATGTGAACACACAAATGAAATGACATGAAATGAAAAACGTTTATAAAGAATAAACAAATGTTTGAAACTATTAAAACTACTTATTATTTGGTTTTATTTCACGAAAATCATGAATTCAAATTCCGCGCCAACTTGCAGGCTTGCATTGCAATACAGAACTCTAAACGAAGGTCTAGCGCAACGGCAGTCACATTGTGACGTCATGATTGCCCAAGTCTGTGCTTTAAAATGCAAATTATTTCCGAAAAAAGTCACATACACACATACTGTAAAAAAAAAACTTGTAATATTATATTTAACATATCGGACACTTTTACATTGCCATCTAATACGATCGGAAGCGAACTGCGATAAATCGAGATGTTTGGCAGAAATTCGATAATTCTTGTGCGAAGCCGCCAAACTTTGTTCCAAATTAAATTTAGAATATGATCGAAGTTGGCTTGTTTTGCGCAAATATTTGACAGCACGCAGGCATGTTATATATTTACAATACAACTCAAGTCAATTGGAACAACAATGGCGCAACAAACAATTAAACACGTCTCCACAGCTCGAATATTGCTGCTCGGCCAAGCAGGTGGGTATCTCTCTCTCTCTCTTTCTCTCTCTCAATATATGGCATCCGATAATCGAACGTCGTTTTTTTCGCAGGCGTTGGTAAGTCCCGGCTAACAGATCTGCTGGCCAGAAGCGTTGACACGCCCACGCCCTCCACTAGGAGCGTCGGCGACGTCTGGTGGAATGTGCAGGTGCGCCTGCACGAGTATCCCTGTAATAAGGGGATGCCACCCACACCAGAGTGGACATCGTCCTCGTCGCCCAGCTCCTCGCACAGCTCCGAGCGCTTTGGCTCCTCGTGTAAGCTGTTTCGGCGCAGGGCGGAGGCCGCGTGTGACATGATCCCATATTTTGTGGAATTTTACGATTTAAAGAGCTCGTTGCGAATGTCGCGCGAGCATAGGAATCGTCTCTTTCGCAACATCGATGGCATTATATTAGTGTACGATCTTTTAGATATGAGCTCGCATGACAATTTGCACGATTTGCTGTATCATCCACTGCGCCAGATCTGTCGGCATCGCCACAAGCGGCTCCGACCCATCTTAAAACGTCGCCACGTGCCCATCCTAGTGGTGGGTACCAAACTGGATATGTTGAAAACGCGCCGGTTACGTCGCTCGGGCGGCATTGCCGGCCAATTGGGTGCAGATGAGATATTACTCAATTGCTTGGATCCCGACAGCTTGGCCGAGAAATCTCGCAACGAGGGCAAACTGCGAAAATTTCTCAACAATGCCGTCGACTTCAAGCAATACTTTCCAGCCAGACGCTACTGAATCTACATGCTATTATCTGTATATTTTGTACATTGAGTTTTTTAGTTTTAATAAGGTGTATTTATTTTTTTAAATCGTTTATCTTGTTCGCTTTAAGGCAGCTCCTAGCCAGGTGGCCACTGCATTTGGCGGCCGCCCAGGAAGTGCAAATGTAAATGGTAAACGGACTGGGCGCCATGTTGTCCGTTATTGATGACCACGCGGTAGCCCTTCTCCAGACCCAGTTCCTTGGCCACTTTGCGGCCCACCAGCATCAGATGGCCCAAGAGATCGGCGTCTCCATCCTCGGCCGTAGAAAGCTGCGCAATTGGCTTGCGCGGTATAACCAGAAAATGGGTGGGCGCCTGGGGCGCAACATCATTAAATGCCACACACTAAACAAGATAAGTGCAATAAAGATAATTGAATAGACAAAATGTGCCCTTTGTACCGACCTTCTCGTCTTCGTAGATAAATTTGCATGGAATCTCCTTGCGTAAAATCTTGCCAAAAATAGTGTCTTCGGATGCCGCTGCGCTCTGCGCCTTCTCTACCTCACTTGCCATTCTGGCGCAGGTAGTTGATATGCTGCGATAACTATGAAATTCAGGATGAAATCAATTTAAAAAAAAATAATTTCTTTTTATTTTGCGTACTTACCGAAAGATTCTTGTTAAATTCCGGCCGGCTGACACGAACATTGATAAGAGTGCTGCCAACTGAAGTTCAGTCGCTACTTGTCAACGTGCATTATCAAAACTACAAGGTTTCTTTTACTGCGAAAACTATCGGTTACGGCTGACAATTACGTCATAAGTGACATGCACATCTTGTCGTCGAACTAATATTTATACATCATCAAAAATATTGGAAATTTAATGATGAATCGAGTTTTTTTTATAAATAATGAAATTGAAATCAGTACAAAACCCCACAAACATTTTGAAATTGTTGATAAGCTTTGCAAGGCGCTGCCAACTTAAGCTGACATGAACTATCGATTACATTTAATGAAGATACGCAATTTTTCGGTAATAGAAACGGTCACACGACTGCCTTCGGCATTGGTCATCTGCGCAGCGAGTATAAAGCAACAAAACATATAAAGATTTAGTTTATATATTGCATTTAACAGTTACACAAATACCTTTCATTACTGGTGATGTCAGGGCTGCGCTCCAAAGTTATCACTCTCTACAAGCACGTAAGTATATTTGCCAATTAACTTGCCACTCACTGCCTGAACCACGTGCAAGTGCACTGTAACAGCAGCAGCAGCCGCAGCTTTAGGCAAGCGGGTCGGTGGAGGGGGACCGATACTAAGATTGCGTAAATTCCATTGCAGTTACAATACCTGGGTCGTGACTACCCTGGCCTGAATGGGCCGCAAAAGTTTCGCAAGCAAATTCACGATGCATTCATAAAGAACAAGGATGAGCGCGATCCCAAGAAGATTGTCGCTCTGCTGGCACAGGGACGATACCTCGCCAAGGAGGTGGAGGCGTTGTACTCGCTGAAAAAATATCGCAGCGTAAAACAGCGCTACAGCTGCAATGAAATGCAAAGCGGAAATGCGAATTGAAGGACTGAAACAGAAACGAGAATATGATACATAAACACCTTTTGTTTTTATTGTAATTGAGAAAACGAAACCAAATGTACACCCCACACACACACACACACACACACACACACACAGCTACCAGCACACATGCAAACACCAATTGTTATTTTCGAATGTCTTGTCAATGTTTAACTTTAAGTTATTGTTGAATAAAAGAGCAACAGTCATTGGATAAGCAAAAAGAAACACGCGCAAACATTGACTAATTATCTGATAACCTTGAATGGACGTGGGGGCATTTTGTCGATAAAAACAACCGTTGGATACACTTGCCAAATTATGACCACGGGTTGATGGTCGCCCGTGCGAATGCGTTTGCCGTCGGCGCCGGAACTCTGTTGACAAAATTGCGTATTTAAATTCGTTTGAACGTTGATCATCTGTCTACGTTGCCCCCGTCCATGTGTTGGTGATAAACAAATCTGACGCCGCTGTCAACGGATTGAGCTTTTTCATGCACTTGCCGAAGGGCATGCACACTATTTCACGCTCTTTGATACATGACTATACAGTAGATAAAAATGTCAAACAAGCCTTTATACACATATTAAACAATCGTTATCACAAACTGAAAACATTTAGTTATGCATTCCATGGAACAATAAGGTTCTGAGTCAATCGACGGTAAAGTCCTCTCAACTATTTCACTAACCAAGCCCAGCCTAAGCTATGCAATCTTATCATTGTGAATGATCTATAAAGTCGTACTATAAGACATTTTAAACTCCAGTCTAAGACCTGTTTTTGTTTTCTAAAAACGGTAGTTAAATATATATATTATTAAACTATTGATGAATCTTATAGATATGTAATAAAAGAAGGACACGTTATTAACAGGGTATGCAGGCATCGGTGTGGCAAAGTAGGAACTGTTGGTCGGATGAGATTTGGCCGAGATATGGGGGTGGTAATTTTTGACCCATGTCTATATACGAATCTTGGGGTAAGATTTGGACATGAATTTCGACCAAAAAATCGGTGTTCAGATTTGAATGCCAGATTAATCTAGAGGGAAAACCATGAAGAAAAAGCCAAACTTCGTGAAAATCGGATGAGATTTGACCGAGTTATGGGGGTGGTAATTTTTGACCCATGTCTATATACGAATCTTGGGGTAAGATTTGGACATGAATTTCAACCAAAAAATCGGTGTCGAGATTTGAATGCCACATTAAACTAGAGGGAAAACCATGAAGGAAAAGCCAAACTTCGTAAAAATCGGATGAGATTTGGCCGAGATATGGGGGTGGTCATTTTTGACCCATGTCTATATACGAATCTTGGGGTAAGATTTGGACATAGATTTCGACTAAAAAGTCGGTGTTCAGATTTGAATGCCACATTAATCTAGAGGGAAAACCATGAAGAAAAAGCCAAACTTCGTGAAAATCGGATGAGATTTGACCGAGTTATGGGGGTGGTAATTTTTGACCCATGTCTATATACGAATCTTGGGGTAAAATTTGGACATGAATTTCGACTAAAAAATCGGTGTCGAGATTTGAATGCCACATTAATCTAGAGGGAAAACTATGAAGAAAAAGCCAAACTTCGTGGAATTCGGATGAGATTTGACCGAGTTATGGGGGTGGTCATTTTTGACCCATGTCTAGATACGAATCTTGGGGTAAGATTTGGACATGAATTTCGACTAAAAATTCGGTGTTCAGATTTGAATGCCAGATTTATCTAGAGGGAAAACCATGAAGAAAAAGCCCAACTTCGTGAAAATCGGATGAGATTTGACCGAGTTATGGGGGTGGTCATTTTTGACCCATGTCTATATACGAATCTTGGGGTAAGATTTGGACATGAATTTCGACCAAAAAATCGGTGTTCAGATTTGAATGCCAGATTAATCTAGAGGGAAAACCATGAAGAAAAAGCCAAACTTCGTGAAAATCGGATGAGATTTGACCGAGTTATGGGGGTGGTAATTTTTGACCCATGTCTATATACGAATCTTGGGGTAAGATTTGGACATGAATTTCAACCAAAAAATCGGTGTCGAGATTTGAATGCCCGATCAATCTAGAGGGAAAACCATGAAGGAAAAGCCAAACTTCGTAAAAATCGGATGAGATTTGGCCGAGATATGGGGGTGGTAATTTTTGACCCATGTCTATACACGAATCTTGGGGTAAGATTTGGACATGAATTTCGACCAAAAAATCGGTGTCGAGATTTGAATGCCCGATCAATCTAGAGGGAAAACCATGAAGGAAAAGCCAAACTTCGTAAAAATCGGATGAGATTTGGCCGAGATATGGGGGTGGTCATTTTTGACCCATGTCTATATACGAATCTTGGGGTAAGATTTGGACATAGATTTCGACTAAAAAGTCGGTGTTCAGATTTGAATGCCACATTAATCTAGAGGGAAAACCATGAAGAAAAAGCCAAACTTCGTGAAAATCGGATGAGATTTGACCGAGTTATGGGGGAAGTAATTTTTGACCCATGTCTATATACGAATCTTGGGGTAAAATTTGGACATGAATTTCGACTAAAAAATCGGTGTCGAGATTTGAATGCCACATTAATCTAGAGGGAAAACTATGAAGAAAAAGCCAAACTTCGTGGAATTCGGATGAGATTTGACCGAGTTATGGGGGTGGTCATTTTTGACCCATGTCTATATACGAATCTTGGGGTAAGATTTGGACATAAATTTCGACTAAAAAATCGGTGTTCAGATTTGAATGCCACATTAATCTAGAGGGAAAACCATGAAGAAAAAGCCAAACTTCGTGAAAATCGGATGAGATTTGACCGAGTTATGGGGGTGGTAATTTTTGACCCATGTCTATATACGAATCTTGGGGTAAGATGTGGACATGAATTTCGACCAAAAAGTCGGTGTCGAGATTTGAATGCCCGATTAATCTAGAGGGAAAACCATGAAGAAAAAGCCAAACTTCGTGAAAATCGGATGAGATTTGACCGAGCTATGGGGGTGGTCATTTTTGACCCATGTCTAGATACGAATCTTGGGGTAAGATTTGGACATGAATTTCGACTAAAAAATCGGTGTTCAGATTTGAATGCCAGATTTATCTAGAGGGAAAACCATGAAGAAAAAGCCAAACTTCGTGAAAATCGGATGAGATTTGACCGAGTTATGGGGGTGGTCATTTTTGACCCATGTCTATATACGAATCTTGGGGTAAGATTTGGACATAAATTTCGACTAAAAAATCGGTGTTCAGATTTGAATGCCACATTAATCTAGAGGGAAAACCATGAAGAAAAAGCCAAACTTCGTGAAAATCGGATGAGATTTGACCGAGTTATGGGGGTGGTAATTTTTGACCCATGTCTATATACGAATCTTGGGGTAAGATGTGGACATGAATTTCGACCAAAAAGTCGGTGTCGAGATTTGAATGCCCGATTAATCTAGAGGGAAAACCATGAAGAAAAAGCCAAACTTCGTGAAAATCGGATGAGATTTGACCGAGCTATGGGGGTGGTCATTTTTGACCCATGTCTAGATACGAATCTTGGGGTAAGATTTGGACATGAATTTCGACTAAAAAATCGGTGTTCAGATTTGAATGCCAGATTTATCTAGAGGGAAAACCATGAAGAAAAAGCCAAACTTCGTGAAAATCGGATGAGATTTGACCGAGTTATGGGGGTGGTAATTTTTGACCCATGTCTATATACGAATCTTGGGGTAAGATGTGGACGTGAATTTCGACCAAAAAGTCGGTGTCGAGATTTGAATGCCCGATTAATCTAGAGGGAAAACCATGAAGAAAAAGCCAAGCTTCGTGAAAATCGGATGAGATTTGACCGAGCTATGGGGGTGGTCATTTTTGACCCATGTCTAGATACGAATCTTGGGGTAAGATTTGGACATGAATTTCGACTAAAAAATCGGTGTTCAGATTTGAATGCCAGATTTATCTAGAGGGAAAACCATGAAGAAAAAGCCAAACTTCGTGAAAATCGGATGAGATTTGACCGAGTTATGGGGGTGGTAATTTTTGACCCATGTCTATATACGAATCTTGGGGTAAGATTTGGACATGAATTTCAACCAAAAAATCGGTGTCGAGATTTGAATGCCACATTAAACTAGATGGAAAACCATGAAGGAAAAGCCAAACTTCGTAAAAATCGGATGAGATTTGGCCGAGATATGGGGGTGGTAATTTTTGACCCATGTCTATATACGAATCTTGGGGTAAGATGTGGACATGAATTTCGACCAAAAAATCGGTGTCGAGATTTGAATGCCCGATTAATCTAGAGGGAAAACCATGAAGAAAAAGCCAAACTTCGTGAAAATCGGATGAGATTTGACCGAGCTATGGGGGTGGTCATTTTTGACCCATGTCTAGATACGAATCTTGGGGTAAGATTTGGACATGAATTTCGACTAAAAAATCGGTGTTCAGATTTGAATGCCAGATTTATCTAGAGGGAAAACCATGAAGAAAAAGCCAAACTTCGTGAAAATCGGATGAGATTTGACCGAGTTATGGGGGTGGTAATTTTTGACCCATGTCTATATACGAATCTTGGGGTAAGATGTGGACATGAATTTCGACCAAAAAATCGGTGTTCAGATTTGAATGCCACATTAAACTAGATGGAAAACCATGAAGGAAAAGCCAAACTTCGTAAAAATCGGATGAGATTTGGCCGAGATATGGGGGTGGTAATTTTTGACCCATGTCTATATACGAATCTTGGGGTAAGATTTGGACATGAATTTCGACTAAAAAATCGGTGTTCAGATTTGAATGCCAGATTTATCTAGAGGGAAAACCATGAAGAAAAAGCCAAACTTCGTGAAAATCGGATGAGATTTGACCGAGCTATGGGGGTGGTCATTTTTGACCCATGTCTATATACGAATCTTGGGGTAAGATGTGGACGTGAATTTCGACCAAAAAGTCGGTGTCGAGATTTGAATGCCCGATTAATCTAGAGGGAAAACCATGAAGAAAAAGCCAAGCTTCGTGAAAATCGGATGAGATTTGACCGAGCTATGGGGGTGGTCATTTTTGACCCATGTCTAGATACGAATCTTGGGGTAAGATTTGGACATGAATTTCGACTAAAAAATCGGTGTTCAGATTTGAATGCCAGATTTATCTAGAGGGAAAACCATGAAGAAAAAGCCAAACTTCGTGAAAATCGGATGAGATTTGACCGAGTTATGGGGGTGGTAA